CGCGTTTCGCACCCATTTTGGCACCCATTTTTGCCCCATGGGTGGTGTAAAAAAAAATTCCCCGATGTTAACCTCATTTTCACTTTCAAAATATTACCTTAGAAAAAATATCGTGTAAGGGTAGGCAGCTGAAATTCTGTATCAATGAAAGCGACACCTGTGATGTTCTCGCACTGGTACTCTGCTTCTATGTGGGTGGTAAGGTTGTACAGTAGATTAGGTAGTAGAAGACAGGCAGACGATAGAAGCAAAGAGATAACTAGAGGCGACAGTCCGAGGGGAATGGAGGGTTGAAATATTACAGACATCTGGTGGCTTGTTATGAACAACACTGCCATGAGGCGTGCTTTGTGGCGGTGGAGTCGGGAATCGACTCATTCGAAGATTTGACTCAAAGGAATCCCTCAACCGAACACGCTTGTCTCGTTGAGTCGGCTGCTTGGCCATGGAGAAGATTTTGATATGCGCCCGCTAGGTGCAGGATCGACAGGAAGGATCTATATATTGCGACCCTGTCCTGGATGGGATTTGAGCGGCGTTTCGCCTATAGCTATACTCTCTATTAGAGAAGGCTGTGGTCCTACAAAACATGTGTCTTTATTGCCTTGAATATTCTTTTTAAAAGAATTGGACTGGGACAGACATACACATGAAAGGACAAATGCCACAAGTAGCCAACACATATTGAAGAGGAAAGAGGGTCTAGATTGAAAATCCCAGACGGAATTGCGACACCTTCCCACGCTCTATATTACTATACATCCTGTTTTCCTGGGCCCGGGGCAAGTGATGGCAACTTCGTTGCCGCTCAAGCCTGACGCCTTCAAGCTTGAGCCATCACTGCACATCATCACTGCACATCACTGCACATCACTGCACATCAGGCCGCCAGGGCCGATGTGTCGGGTGCTTTTAAGGCACACGAAACCCCTACCTCTCACACAATGGAGCAGAGTGGCTCATGCTTGAGTCCAAGGGAGAGGAGACAATACCGGAGAGCAGCCGGGTAAACTGTCGGCCAAGAAGAATATTGCCTGCCACCGGAACCTGGATCTCTCGCGTGCTAGCCTTCCTAATAATATTAAATCAAAGTTCGATCTTGACACGGGACTTGACGTAGTAGGCAGAGATGACTCCCGACATACCCAATATTGGAAAATACTTTATAGAATAGGCTCATCTTTGAAATGTACCATCAAAAATCAGATTAAGTTTCCAAGATCACGATTCTCATTGTTTTACATGCGTTTAAAAGCAGACTTGGAATGATAATCGTATATGATTGCAGATGGAGGATAGAGAGCAATGCGTCATGGTGAGCAGGATTGTAACTAAGCTGCGACTTTATTGCGTGCACAAAGTCAGAGATACTTGGAAACCTTGGTCAGAATTCATCTTCACTGAACCATCCAAGGGGATGAGCCTGTCTCTGATAGTCTTCCTTGGGAGTTGGTTCGGGTCGATGTAAAAAATTACTTATTCATAAGCTTCCATTTCCACCGTCCTTTGCTGATGAGAAGGACGACAGCTATAAGTCAACATGGCAAAATTGAAGCCGTACCACTTGCACATATGCATGCTGAACTGGCCATGACAATCCATTCAAAGGGATAACATTGATATGGGACAAGTTCATTTTCGAATATTTGAGAGTGACAGATCGATAAAACCTGATCGATAAAACCAGATACCAGATCGATAAAACCTGAACCGATTTCTTTTCAAATGGTACCCTATAGGAATCAGCTTGACGGGGATAATCTTATTCCACTAGACTCCCATTATGACCACCGATTGGTTTAGTCAAACGGATCGTATGTCACCCTGAGAAAAATAAAATGCTACCATTCAGTCCATGTCACAAATGAGGTAAACTATGACTTCAACATATTCCTAAACATATTTGTCAGGAATCAGATCAGAGGAGTTCTAAACCGCCGTGACGCATGTCACCCAATTAAATTGGATCTTATAGCAACAAGTTAGTATACAATATTAGAATACGAAAAAAATCTGAGGTTTTCCATACCGGCTTATGTTTAAAGAGGAAAGAAAAATGGGTACAAAGTCATATTCTCTACGAAACTCGGTCCAGTCGATGCCTTGCATTGACTGAAGAACCTGACGAATGAAATAAGTCCACGATACGCAAGAAGGCCGGCGTTGTAGCACCTATTCTACGTGGTGAAAGCGGATTGGACGAATTTGTCGGTGTTGTGTGGTTAGTGGAAAAGCGATACACGAGAGCGTTCACAGTGCGATGTCGGCCCTCTCCCCTTCGTGAAGCTCTTCAACTCCGCAATTGTCCAACGGAATATTCAACGCAGGTTTAACATCCATTCCAATATATCATATATTTATTGGTCTCTTTGCTTTGAGTAACCGTGGGATTTCATGTCCTATCTTGTATTAGATGTATTGATGCTCTTTCATATATTCCGTCGAATGCCATGGCCTGACTTGTCAATCATCTGTTGACGTTATGAAATGGTGGAGGTAATTCCATTCGATACAAAAATTCAAAATTTTTATATATTTCTTGAAAAAATGGTGGATTTCTGGGGAAAAAAACTCACGGCTTTCTGCAAGAGGGAACTTCTTGTATAGGACTTGATGTGCCATTGCACCAATTGAAGTGCCAGGAAATGCTTTAAAAATCTTCAAGCTTGAAATACAGGAGATGCCACAGTGAAGCTAGTAATATGTGACAAATCTGAAGGTAATTTTTGAATCATCAAAATATGGAATTAAATTAAAGTTCTCCAGCTGAAATAGGAACAAGAACAAATTAAGTGCATTGCATTGTTCGTGGGAACCCGAGAGGTGGAGGTTTACATAACAATTGGGCTTTGGTCTTGGAGCCTCGGAATCCCGATGCTTCGAACACTTTTCATGTATGTAATTCTCAATACGACCGCTATGCACTTTGGTAATTGCCCAGATACGAAAAGTGATTTGTCCGAGATATGCAAAATTGTGGCGAAATTGTCTCGCGGAGGAAACGCATTAGGGGGCCGCGATGAAAAAAGTATTATCCGCAAGAAAAATTACTAGCACGGGAATTTCTTTTTTCATTTGGACGAGTGTTTCTGTGCTGGTGACATCTATGCAACATGCACTCTGAATTCTGAATGTTCCTACCTTTACTTCTCGAAATTTTTATTTATATATAAAAGTCGAATTGCTATGTGTTGCTAATACGAAGGGTCTGGAAAAAAGTACACACAAATATATTGATTAGTTTTTTGGCAATCAGGAGACTAAACTCCCAAAACATTCGAATGCAGGTCTTCTCGACATCGGCAGAGTGCTGTGCGTGGAAGAGGCGAAAAGTTATTTTGTCCGTGCCGATGCTAGCATGGAGGATTCCAAGTGAGTCCCACAATCCGTCTTTTCTCTCTATGGAGTGATTTTTTTTTCTTGCTGCATTACTCCCTGTTCAGTGTTGTTTTGAGTCATTATACGGTGTCTACCTATTCCTACTTCGGTCTATTCTTGGGCGCTTTCGAAGGCTGACTGATTCATCACATGGATAGACCCATCCAAAGGTATACCAATTCAAGTTCCCTCGGAATTCATGAGGAAATTCAAAGCGGGGAAGCAGAAAGGGAGTCTAACGATAACAACACGGACACATACTTCAAAATTCAGATATGGACCTCATACAGGCTGGTCGACACGATGTGCACGGCCTAAAAGGAAAAAGGAATTATCTTACATATATCACTCTCGGAGGTGCTGAAAGTAAGCGCTATAATATTGTGCTCAGACTCGCGATCTTGATTGAAACCAAGGCGCAGCCTAGTTCGGGCTCTCCCTTCACAGTTACCTCCATCTGCTTCGAACGTATGGCTTGGGATGATTGAGGTGCTACGTGTGCCTTGTATTCAATCGGACAACCTAAATCACAAGATGTTGCGAATCGCAATGCAGAACATCTACAGACTACCGATCCAGGACCTCAGCCATCTAAAGGCACGTATTCCAGCGAAACGGATTCAACTGTGAAAAGAGAGCCTAAACCGTTCAATGTTTTAATTTCAAACAAGGTTATATGCCAGGGGAAAAAATGACGGCGGGAACTTCGGCACCTCTTCCGAGTGGGAAGCCGGAAATAATAACATTCTTTCCTTCTAGGTTGTAGGCGTCGTGCCAACTGAAGTGAATGAGACCTAGAACTTAATGCTGCTGCAAACGCCCGTACAGGTCCGGCCGCAACCCTCTCTTGCGGTCAATATCAGAAATACCAACTCCATTCCAACTGTAACTACTCCCACTAAAGCGGCCATATTACCGCAAACAAGAAGCTATTGCATGGAAACGATGACGCGAACCGTCACGCCTGACGTAAAGAAAAAAAATTCATACAGAAGAACATACTTCAACAAAAAAAGGTATTTAAATGGAGAACTTGCAGTCGACCAGTGAAAACGTGACTTGCATTCGGTTAGTAGCACCCTTTGATTGGCACAGCTAAGTATAAAGCCAATGGACATAATGTGCCATAGTCCATGGCTGAGACTGACATAGCTCTATGGATCTGGCGTTTTGAGCAGTGGATGACTTAGCCTAATGCTTAAAATGACAGTCTCGCTGGCTTTGCGCGCTGGGGTGATAACCACGACCGCAATTTCGGGCTCTCAGAATTAAAGTATAAGACTAAGAGTTTTTTTTTGGCGTAGAGTCTTGGCCATAAAACTATCCAGGCTCGTAGTCGAGGCCCTTGACTATGGCCTGGAAAAACAGACTGGTAGGCCTGGCGCTTTATACCACGGGTGGCCTTGCAAATCTAATGAAATCATGAGATTTACATACATACAGCGTATAGTTTATGGGCAGATTTTGTTCTTGAACGTCATCATCATGATATTCAAGCGCATTGCCACAATCGCCTTTGTGAATGCCTAGGTTTAGCAGGTTTTAAAGGGGCTTAATACGACTTTGTTGATTTCGTTCTCCCAACACATTCAATACTCTTGTATCACTGATCACAATCAAGAATGAAGTTAGCGCATGTGCGACATAATACTAATGAATAATTCTTGAAAATGCCTCGCCCCACATTAGCTCCCGTGAGCAACACTTTCAGCAGCTCAAGGTAAAGTGTGAGCTGCTGCAGGAGCATTTTTCCGTTGTGGCAACAATATAAAACATATGCTTCCTCCCTACAGGAAAATGTACAGCCTGACAGTGTGAGCTGCGGCAAACGAGTCGAGTGTAATAATTGAGATGACATGGAGAGGACATGAAAAATGTCCCGAGTTCCTGCTTTCCCTCCCGAGGGCTGCTTTTAACCGATTGCTACAATGTTCGACTACTCAGTGTTGAAGGCAATTTTCGGAAGTCCTCATTGCCTCATCATCTTCCGTACACTTTTCCCCATGGGATATTATGCAAAAACACATGCATTGTTGTGCCACCGTATCTCATCCGCAAAAAAGCGTCACCGTCCCTCAGATAACAGAGAGCTATTATTTGTATCTAGTAGTCTGATTTCAAGGAGAAACGAAAGAGAAACCGTATTGCCAGCCTTCGTCCGAGTCAAGGAATTTCAGTTTCTGTAGCGTTTTTGCGAACTTGACAGTGCCCCCGCAAAATTAAAAAAAGTCAGAAAAAAGTCCATCAAGCCTTGGATCGAAGACTCCAGGAAGTTGGAGGTCAATAAGATACTTCAGCAACAAAAGTATTGGGTTGGAAAGAAAGTCTTGCAACACTTTCTAAAACTATTTATTAAAATTTGCAAAGGAATGGTGAGCGGGGCTTTGCATTTGTATATGCTGGAATGTTCTCGAAGATTCTGCCCTCGGGGTATATAAGGCGGCTTCTGCCATTAGTTGGCCGCCATGGCTCCGATCGAGCGAGCAACTCTTCGCCCCATCGTCTACTTCGAGTTCCTCCAAGGACACTCTGTGCTCCATTCAAGGGCAACGTTGTCCACTATTCCAAGGTGTCTCGATGGTTCAAACGCTTGGAATCTGGCGACACGACCTTCGGAGATCGACCACGCTCGGGACGTCCATATACAGTCGATGACGAAGCCCTGCAGAACACCCTCAACGCGAAGCCGAACGCCACCACTCGCAAATCGGCGACTACACTTGGAGTCACCCATATAGCCATCGGCAACCATCTGAACGACCTCGGCTATCGGAAGGTTTACTCGACATGGGTCCCTTAGAGCGTCCCAAACGCGACAAATTTCTTCTGCATGACAACGCTCGTCCACATGTTCCGAAGATGACTCGCCAGACGATTTCGGAACTGGGCTGGGAAGTTTTACCCCATCCAGCGTATTCTCCGGACTTGGCCCCTTCCGACAATCACTTGTTCCGGGCCCTCAAGAATCACCTGTGGGACAAGGCACAAGACGATCAAGCACAGTTCGAAAATGATAGCGGCCGTTTCTTCGCTCGTTACCCGTGTGTTGGGAACATGTCATAAACAACAATGGTCATTACATTGTAGACTGAAATGGCATTTCAATAAAGTTATAAAATTTGAAAAATTTGCGAAGAGTGTTGCAAGACTTTCTTTCCAACCCAATATTTGGAGCTAAAATAGAAAATTTCGGGAAGGATTTCCAGACTGATATAATATTGGAAATTCATTCATAAAATAGGATGCAATATCGGGATTATACTCCATAATCTTTGAATTTTCGTGATGTTGATTCCATTTAACTGGAATCACAGGGATCACCGAAATGTTTTTCTTTTTTGTTCCCTTTAGGAAACGCAGGGGGAGCGAGGAGGGAGACGTGGACTGGATGGAAGAATTCCTGTCCCGTTTAAGCGGAAATGGGATCCCTCGCGTCCTCCAGAATTATCCACTGGTGGGACGACTGGTTTGGTTCTTAATCACGATCTTTTTCACGGTCCTCTGCCTCTGGCAGAGCGTTCTGGTGGTCCAAGACTTCCTGACGTACCCAAAGGTCGTCAGCATTCAGGTTTGTATAAGGGTATGAATAGTAAATAGGATCTCTGATTTTTGGAGGGATTTTGTGATAGAGCGATTCGAGGTCTAATTCATTTCGTGCTGTAGAGAGGGTACATTTCTGTAGCAGTAATTCTCAATGCGAGTAAAATTGGCGAGACATGGGTATGCAATGGACACTAGATGGTTTTCAGTTTGACAATGAACGCGACAGTAAAGCGGAGCATGTATATCGAATGTGGATCATTCCATGTGGAATCATCACAGCCATTTACCTTACCCCCTGCAATTTCCGTGAACTTTGTTGAGCTTGTTGGGGCTATTAAAAAACCAGGTCTTGCCGAATTGCTGCTCTCTACAGCAAGTACTTTCAGAAAAGTAGCAATTGAGAGGTAGCAACTTGAAATAAGCAAAAAGGGTCTCTTGAGTCTGAAGCGGCTCTGAACCTTTGGCCTCTTAATTTCAGAAAAAATGGGCATTTATATTTCCTTTAAAAAAAAAATACCGTTTTTTATTTATTTTGCTTCAGTGTTCAAAAGGACTGCCATGGGATCAGGAATTATAAACAATAGAGTGATTGCAGGTATTTGAAAATCCCGATGTAATTGTTTAAAGGCGAAAATTCCCAGGGACAATCAAATGACAAAATCACGTTGGAAGAAAGTCAGAGTACAAAGGGATTAAATTGAAGAACACTTATTTATTCATGACGGTCTTCCAACTGGAGAGCTTCAATCTCCAAGGACAGTCACTGGGCGCGTTCAGTTGTCACCCGGGTCATGACCCGATGTTCATGATTTTCAGCAGGTTCGGTGCTTTTCAAAAACTATTATACTCAGGATTGGTCTCTCTGACGAAGTTCGGCGTATTTGGAGAAGCCAATAAATTGAGCGGGGAACCTTTCTTTGAACAGTTAATACACTTCCCTCAAAGTGCTCAAGACTAGCCTTTTCTGAAAGCGACTTCGTTTTCCAACCCATTTCACATATTTATTGACAGCCAAGAGCCGACTCACTTCGTCACTTACGTAGAAGCTCCTGACGACATCAACTGTTTCAATTGGGATTTCTTTTCCTGGTTTAGAATTTGGCGTGGACGTGATCCCCGTTTCCTTCACTAGTTCTTTTCCTTTGCTAAACATGAGATGCGCGGAACTCCTGATGGATTTTCGAACGCTCCAACTTTGTGGAAGTCTTGTCAGTACTAGTACCTTCTCACTTCTCTCTGTGGACGCACTGAATTTTTCTTTCAATTGGCTAATGATTTCATTTTTGGTCAGATTTTGATCATCACTGGTGTCACCTGATTCCACATTAAGAACTTCCTCCTCGGAACACCATCAATCTTCAACTTCTCCTATGGATATTTGGTTTGTGTGAGCTTCCTCTTGACTATAGGAGACTCTCCAATGGCGTGCAACTTTGTTAGATGAATTCTAGTGTCCTGCTTTGCTCATAGGAGACCTTATCAACCACGTGANATTATCCACTGGTGGGACGACTGGTTTGGTTCTTAATCACGATCTTTTTCACGGTCCTCTGCCTCTGGCAGAGCGTTCTGGTGGTCCAAGACTTCCTGACGTACCCAAAGGTCGTCAGCATTCAGGTCTGTATACGGGTATGAATAGTAAATAGGATCTCTGATTTTTGGAGGGATTTTGTGATAGAGCAATTCGAGGTCTAATTTATTTCGTGCTGTAGAGAGGGTACATTTCTGTAGCAGTAATTCTCAATGCGAGTAAAATTGGCGAGACATTGGTATGCAATGGACACTAGATGGTTTTCAGTTTGACAATGAACGCGTCAGTAAAGCGGAGCATGTATATCGAATGTGGATCATTCCATGTGGAATCATCACAGCCATTTACTTTACTCCCTGCAATTTCCGTGAACTTTGCTGAGCTTGTTGGGACTATTAAAAAACCAGGTCTTGCCTAATTGCTGCTCTCTACAGCAAATTCTTTCAGAAAAGTAGCAATTGAGAAGTAGCAACTTGAAATAAGCAAAAGGGGTCTCTCGAGTCTGAAGCGGCTCTGAACCTTTGGCCTCTTAATTTCAGAAAAAATGGTGATTTATATTTCCTTAAAAAAAAAAAACTTTTTCGATTTATTTTGCTTCAGTGTTCAAAATTTAAACTCAGGACTGCCATGGAATCAGGAATTATAAACAATAGAGTGATTGCAGGTATTTGAAAATCCCCATGTAATTGTTTAAAGGCGATAATTCCCAGGGACAATCAAATGACAAAATCACGTTTGAAGAAAGTCAGAGTACAACGGGATTAAATTGAAGAACACTTATTTATTCATGACGGTCTTCCAACTGGAGAGCTTCAATCTCCAAGGACAGTCACTGGGCGCGTTCAGTTGTCACCCGGGTCATGACCCGATGTTCATGATTTTCAGCAGGTTCGGTGCTTTTCAAAAACTATTATACTCAGGATTGGTCTCTCTGACGAAGTTCGGCGAATTTGGAGAAGCCAATAAATTGAGCGGGAACCTTTCTTTGAACAGTTAATACACTTCCCTCAAAGTGCTCAAGACTAGCCTTTTCTGAAAGCGACTTCGTTTTCTAACCCATTTAACATATTTATTGACAGCCAAGAGCCGACTCACTTCGTCACTTTCGTAGAAGCTCCTGACGACATCAACTGTTTCAATTGGGATTTCTTTTCCTAGTTTAGAATTTGGCGTGGACGTGATCCCCGTTTCCTTCACAAGTTCTTTTCCTTTGCGTAACATGAGATGCGCGGAACTCCTGATGGATTTTCGAACGCTCCAACTTTGTGGAAGTCTTGTCAGTACTAGTACCTTCTCACTTCTCTCTGTGGACGCACTGGATTTTTCTTTCAATTGGCTAATGATTTCATTTTTGGTCAGCTTTTGATCATCACTGCTGTCACCTGATTCCACATTAAGAACTTCCTCCTCGGAACACCGTCAATCTTCAACTTCTCCTATGGATATTTGGTTTGTGTGAGCTTCCTCTTGACTATAGGAGACTCTCCAATGGCGTGCAACTTTGTTAGGTGAATTCTAGTGTCCTGCTTTGCTCATAGGAGACCTTATCAACCACGTGAGTATGGCTCCTTGGACTAGGTTCTCTTTGACTTGACATGAATGACAATGTGTTTGACTCAGTTCCTGGTGATATCGATGTTCCGGTATTTCTCTCCTTGGAATAATTGCATATCTTGGCTTCAATTCGAAGAGAGGGGAGTACTTTTACACATCCATGGCAAGACTGGCCCCAGCAGGTTCTTCTTCTTCGTCGAATCTTTCGTTTTGGCGAATGGGTTGTAACAGGGAATCATCCGCTCCGGCTCATCCATATCTCTCGTTTCCCAATCAGGGACAATGATAATGGAAAGCATATATCTTCCCAAGGTGAAGCGTGACAACTGAGAAACTAAGACACAAAATGGTAAAACAATGCCAGATGCTCCTGTACATAATCCAGAAAGACAGCAATTTTAAGAAATTTTAAACCAGAAACTTTTAAATACGTAAACATTCCAACAAGTTCCACCATGTTTTTAATGGAAACTTCGAACAATTTAATAACTTCCTGGAACACTCCTGATTGTTCAGACTACTCTATTCTAACTAAATATTGTTCAAACTGGATTTATCCAGAAATTTCCGGTACATTCTCTTCAGATTTTCAGTCACCTGCTGCCGCATTATTGCTCGTATCTCCCGATCCCATGGCAGTCCCAAGTTAACGTTTTGAGCATTATTGCAGAATAAATCGACAACGGTATAGTAATTCTTAAGGAAATAAAAATATTTTTTCTAGAGTTAAAGGTCAAAGGTCAAATCTTTTTTCTTTGCCCTTTATGCTAATGAGAATTCATTGAGTCACAAAAATTTAAAAACGGCAGAAGAGTCCTTTGAAGTGACACCCATATCCCCATTCTATGATGAATAAATAAAAACCTATGGGCACTCAAGTGATGCTGACTTGATCCAAAATGTTCACAATTTGCTACTTTCAAATTGCTACATCTCTGAAGGTACATGATGTAGAGAACTGCAATTTGGCATCGCATAGTTTTTCAATTGTCCCTACAAATTCAGGAAATTGTATGGAAATGGAAGGGGTCAGTTAAATTTTATTTCTTGTATTTTGGTTTTACAATTAATGACCCTTGTAAGACTATTCCTTAACAGGCGCAAGAAGCTGCTAAGGAAGAAAGCAAATAGAGTCGATGGACTTAAAAAGTATGGAAATTGTTTAAATCTGTTGGAGTACGAACGAATTTTCGACATTGTGCATGTCATTTGGAATAGGTGATGCAAGATTCGACGATGGAGTTCCCGGCGGTGACGGTGTGCAGCTTCAACGTGCTCAGCCGCTCGGCCGTCGAGAAGGAGAAGGGGATCCTCAGTCCAAGGATGGTTGCCCTGCTCGACAGCGAGAAGACCATCCAGGGCAAATATTACGGGCGCTACTTTGAGCGTGAGTCGCATTCTCTCTCCCTTCTTTCGCGGCGTCCAGACCCCGCATTGAATTCTGGTCCGGAAATGCGAAAAAGTTTACGAAAATTTCCAAAGCGAATTCATGCATTTCAAATTAAAGAAATGCGAGGAGCAAGCAAATCCAGATTATTAAAATACCAATCTGGTACCATTTAGCAAATATATATTTTTCTTGGAATTTTTCGAACAGTAGTCGACCTTCAAAGTCAGATCTTTTTTCTCCTAAGCGTTATATTTAACGTTTAGGCAATAATGTTTAAAACTCTCGTGTTTATACTCCTGTTTCGAGCTCCGAATTGACTTAAACTCTATACGAAGGCTGTTATGAAAGTTCTTAGTTACGTCATATATAGCGGTACAATTGAAAAATTCGTATTATCAGGCGAAAGAACAATCCATTCCCTAACGTTTCCGACGATAGTCGAAGTCTTATCCTCGATCTATAAAAGCGGCTGACGCGATCGAAATTCATCACTTGCGGCTTGCGAGAAATTCTGCTTCACCACGACAACGCACCGCGCGACAACGCACAGGCGCACAGTGCCGCTCGGACGTTGGACTTTTTAGACCAATCTGGTGTCCAACTTTTTGAGCCATCCATCTTACAGTCCTGACCTGACCCCTTGCGACTTTTTCATTTCCTACAATAATAAAAAAAGAAGATGCGGGAAAGGACATTTTTGCTTGCAGATGGAGTCGTCGCAGATTTCACGAGCCTGTTTGAGGACCTGCCAAAAGAAGCATTTTCAACTTGTTTTGATAAATGGTTTCAAAGAATGAATGAGTGTATTAGTGTTGGGGAGACTAATTTGGAAAGCAATACATAGAATTCAACAATATGGTTGGCCTTTTTATTTAATTAAAAACTTTCAGAACAGCCCTCGTATATAGCGCAACTGGAAAATAAAAAGTAAAACTCACGTGGGGAGCGTATTACCATGCTGGATATAAACGTCATGCCCACTTAAGGGCTCAAGAACAGAGCAGAAATGCTTATTATGCAAGCGTTGAAATCAACAGTCCAGTCGAAGGTTAGAAATACATTAGGGGGAAGTTAAAAAAAAGAATCAGCAGATTCTGTAAGACAGAAATTCATTGCTAAATTGCACGTGCTACCATTACACCACGGAACCCGGGACATTTTGCCATGCCTCCTCCTGTCATCTCAATAATTACAGTCGTTTGTCACAGCGAGCACTGTCAGGACATTTTGCTGTATGGAGGGGGCATTTGTTTCACATTGCCACAACGGAAAAGTGCTCCTGTTACAACTCGCACTTTTTCAGAGCCTCAGGATAGTGTTGCTCACTGGTGCTAATGTGTCCGCGAGGCATTTTCAGGAATTATTCGTTAGTATTTTGCCGCGCATTTGCTAATTTCTGTCTGTGCTAAAGTCGAACAAGTTCTTGGAAATGGCCCATACTGTTTCAGAATCAGTACCATCTGTACAATAAGCTAATGCTAATAGTCCCATGAACTAATCGGTGATGCAAAATAATGAATGTGCTAATTATCCACTGGTGGGACGACTGGTTTGGTTCTTAATCACGATCTTTTTCACGGTCCTCTGCCTCTGGCAGAGCGTTCTGGTGGTCCAAGACTTCCTGACGTACCCAAAGGTCGTCAGCATTCAGGTTTGTATAAGGGTATGAATAGTAAATAGGATCTCTGATTTTTGGAGGGATTTTGTGATAGAGCGATTCGAGGTCTAATTCATTTCGTGCTGTAGAGAGGGTACATTTCTGTAGCAGTAATTCTCAATGCGAGTAAAATTGGCGAGACATGGGTATGCAATGGACACTAGATGGTTTTCAGTTTGACAATGAACGCGACAGTAAAGCGGAGCATGTATATCGAATGTGGATCATTCCATGTGGAATCATCACAGCCATTTACCTTACCCCCTGCAATTTCCGTGAACTTTGTTGAGCTTGTTGGGGCTATTAAAAAACCAGGTCTTGCCGAATTGCTGCTCTCTACAGCAAGTACTTTCAGAAAAGTAGCAATTGAGAGGTAGCAACTTGAAATAAGCAAAAAGGGTCTCTTGAGTCTGAAGCGGCTCTGAACCTTTGGCCTCTTAATTTCAGAAAAAATGGGCATTTATATTTCCTTTAAAAAAAAAATACCGTTTTTTATTTATTTTGCTTCAGTGTTCAAAAGGACTGCCATGGGATCAGGAATTATAAACAATAGAGTGATTGCAGGTATTTGAAAATCCCGATGTAATTGTTTAAAGGCGAAAATTCCCAGGGACAATCAAATGACAAAATCACGTTGGAAGAAAGTCAGAGTACAAAGGGATTAAATTGAAGAACACTTATTTATTCATGACGGTCTTCCAACTGGAGAGCTTCAATCTCCAAGGACAGTCACTGGGCGCGTTCAGTTGTCACCCGGGTCATGACCCGATGTTCATGATTTTCAGCAGGTTCGGTGCTTTTCAAAAACTATTATACTCAGGATTGGTCTCTCTGACGAAGTTCGGCGTATTTGGAGAAGCCAATAAATTGAGCGGGGAACCTTTCTTTGAACAGTTAATACACTTCCCTCAAAGTGCTCAAGACTAGCCTTTTCTGAAAGCGACTTCGTTTTCCAACCCATTTCACATATTTATTGACAGCCAAGAGCCGACTCACTTCGTCACTTACGTAGAAGCTCCTGACGACATCAACTGTTTCAATTGGGATTTCTTTTCCTGGTTTAGAATTTGGCGTGGACGTGATCCCCGTTTCCTTCACTAGTTCTTTTCCTTTGCTAAACATGAGATGCGCGGAACTCCTGATGGATTTTCGAACGCTCCAACTTTGTGGAAGTCTTGTCAGTACTAGTACCTTCTCACTTCTCTCTGTGGACGCACTGAATTTTTCTTTCAATTGGCTAATGATTTCATTTTTGGTCAGATTTTGATCATCACTGGTGTCACCTGATTCCACATTAAGAACTTCCTCCTCGGAACACCATCAATCTTCAACTTCTCCTATGGATATTTGGTTTGTGTGAGCTTCCTCTTGACTATAGGAGACTCTCCAATGGCGTGCAACTTTGTTAGATGAATTCTAGTGTCCTGCTTTGCTCATAGGAGACCTTATCAACCACGTGAGTATGGCTCCTTGGACTAGGCTCTCTTTGACTTGACATGAGTGACAATGTGCTTGACTCAGTTCCTGGTGATATCGATGTTCCGGTATTTCTCTCCTTGGAATAATGGCATATCTTGGCTTCAATTCGAAGAGAGGGGAGTACTTTTACACATCCATGGCAAGACTGGCCCAAGCAGGTTCTTCTTCTTCGTCGAATCTTTCGTTTTGGCGAATGGGTTGTAACAGGGAATCATCCGCTCCGGCTCATCCATATCTCTCGTTTCCCAATCAGGGACAATGATAATGGAAAGCATATATCTTCCCAAGGTGATGCGTGACAACTGAGAAACTAAGACACAAACTGGTAAAACAATGCCAGATGCTCCTGTACATAATCTAGAAAGAAAGCAATTTTCAGAAATTTTAAACCAAATTGTGCATGTCTTTTGGCGGGACGGAATAGGTGATGCAAGATTCGACGATGGAGTTCCCGGCGGTGACGGTGTGCAGCTTCAACGTGCTCAGCCGCTCGGCCGTCGAGAAGGAGAAGGGGATCCTCAGCCCGAGGATGGTCGCCCTGCTCGACAGCGAGAAGACCATCCAGGGCGAATTCTACGGGAAGAAATTCAATCGTAGGTCGCATTCTCTCTCCCTCCTTTCGCGGCGTCCAGACCCCGCATTGAATTTTGGTCCGGAAATGCGAAAAAGTTGACGAAAATTTCCAGAGTGAATTCATGCATTTAAAAATAAAGAAATGCGAGGAGCAACCAAATCCAGATTATTAAAATCCCAATCTGGTACCATTCAGCAAAAAAATATTTTTCTGGGAATTTCTCGAACAGTAGTCGACCTTCAAAGTCAGATCTTTTTTCTCCTAAGCGTTATATTTAACGTTTAGGCAATAATGTTTAAAACTCTCGTGTTTATATTCCTGTTTCGAGCTCCGAATTGACTTAAACTCTATACGAAGGCTGTTAGGAAAGTTCTTTGTAACGTCATATATAACGGTACAAGTGAAAAATTCGTATTATCAGGCGAAAGAATAATCCATTCCCGAACGTTTCCGACGATAGTCGAAGTCTTATCCTCGGTCTATAAAAGCGGCTGACGCGATTGAAATTCATCACTTGTGGCCTTGCGAGAAATTCTGCTTCACCACGACAACGCACAGGCGCACAGTGCCGCTCGGACGTTGGACTTTTTAGACCAATCTGGTGTCCAACTTTTTGAGCCATCCATCTTACAGTCCGGACCTGACCCCTTGCGACTTTTTCATTTCCTACAATAATAAAAAAAAAACAAGATGCGGAAAGGACATTTTTGCTTGCAGATGGAGTCGTCGCAGATTTCACGAGCCTGTTTGAGGACCTGCCAAAATAAGCATTTTCAACTTGTTTTGATAAATGGTTTCAAAGAATGAATGAGTGTATTAGTGTTGGGGGAGACTAATTTGGAAAACAATACATAGAATTCAACAATATGGTTGGCCTTTTTATTTAATTAAAAACTTTCAGAACAGCCCTCGTATATAGCGCAGTGGAAAATAAAAAGTAAAACTCACGTGGGGAGCGTATTACCATGCTGGATATAAACGTCATGCCCACTTAAGGGCTCAAGAACAGAGCAGAAATGCTTATTATGCAAGCGTTGAAATCAACAGTCCAGTCGAAGGATAGAAATACATTAGGGGGAAGTTAAAAAAAAGAATCAGCAGATTCTGTAAGACAGAAATTCATTGCTAAATTGCACGTGCTACCATTACACCACGGAACCCGGGACATTTTGCCATGCCTCCTCCGGTCATCTCAATAATTACAGTCGTTTGTCACAGCGAGCACTGTCAGGACATTTTGCTGTATGGAGAGGGCATTTGTTTCACATTGCCACAACGGAAAAGTGCTCCTGCTACAACTCGCACTTTTTCAGAGCCTCAGGATAGTGTTGCTCACTGGTGCTAATGTGTCTGCGAGGCATTTTCAGGAATTATTCATTAGTATTTTGCCGCGCATTTGCTAATTTCCCAGACACGATTTCAGCTTGTTCAAGAACCTTTACCGGGTATGACAAAGTCTTAGTCATCGTAGACATGTTATTCGATTACGATTATCAGGGTACTTGATTAGCCACTACGTTTTATTACTTACACGAGGGACAACGAAATCAGCAACGTCGTCTTGAGTCCTATGAAAACCTGCTAAACCAATGCGTTCACAATGGGGATTGTGGCAATGAGCTCGAATATCATGATGATGGTGTTTAGGAACATAATCTCCCTGTGTACTCTAAGTTGTATACGCTGCATGTGTATCAATCTAATGATTTCATGAGATCTATGAATATGTTCCGGTTCAGTCCCGAATGGGCAATGCGATGAACAGAGGATGTCAAGGAGACGTTGTGCTCACAATAGGGTATTCAAATTTCAAATTCGCTTCCCGCTTGCAGCCGGAAATTCTGATTTCTGCAATGAATACCACTTCATGAACCCTGCGGCAAGTTCGGACCCCAGCGCCCTCACAGTGAAGGAAGTGGAAGACCTTTGCGCCCAGCTGAAGACAAACCCTGGATCGAACGCGACCAAGATCGACGGGATCAGGGTGACGCCATCCGCGCTGAATCGAACGTGCGACGGGGTTGACGTGACAAATGTTGAACGGACCTTCGAGGAGATCGGCGACGACTGGAAGAGCCAATTCTCCTCACAATTCAGAGGCGTTTTAAAACCAATTGAAAGACATAGGGACGTGTGGTACCTTAATCCCTGTTTTTTGGGTGAGTGGGTCGGGGAATAAGGTCATAGCGAGTATTTTCGGCCGAGAGAAATGCCGTAGCGAGATGCATGCTTGCGTCTGGATGCGAAACAAACGAGAATCCAAGGTGTGAGAGCTAAATCGAGTCAAAAGAGGCAAGTTTCAACTCACATGAATAAAATGCAAATGAGGTTCCCGAGTTACGGTGGAGGGAAGGTTCCTTGGGGTTATTGGTGGAAACTGAAGCATCTCGCGACGGATTGTCTCTCCGACCGCAAATACACGTTGGTGATTCATTGGCTTCCCTTTTTGGATTTGGATCCCCTGTCTTCATGTCCGTGGCTTTGGACCGTCTAGAGTCTGCAACCAAATCCCCATACGACCAGATGGAAGCAGCCAAGATTCCACCTCTTACTCTGAATAAGGCGTTTGAAGCGTGGAAGAACCGGTTTGTCGGCGAAAGCCTCAATAAAACCCTCGAGGGAGTTCGTCGTCTCTTCGTTTCTGCTTACATTCATGCAGCGATGGTCCAAGTGAGCAAGCCAAACAATTTCCATCGCTTGTTTTTCCCAAAATTGTTTTGTTAAGAAACCTTGCTGCTCCCTTCACGCCGAGTGATTACCGTTTGAACGATTTTTCTCGGGAGAATCGAATCCCGAAAAACTCCTGAGTTCCATTTCCCATCCAAAGGCCTGCCTGCGATCTTTCTGAGTGAAGTAAAATGTCCTCCATTTTTTGTATGCCCTTTCGGACCCTTTTCAGGAGCCTCGTTTAGCTAGCTTGCCACTCAAGTTCTGAAGGGAGGAGATCTGCGCGAGTGGGCGTGAGAGGCCACCACCCTCTTCTCCATGACTCTCCCAGCCTGGGAGAATCCTGACTCATTGGGCTGCAGCGACCGTGGAGCCAACTGCATCAACGGCCACGTCTGCACAGAGAATGGGACGGGTTTCTACGATCCTCAAGCCCTATGGGGTAGATTCTCCTTCCCCATTTCAATCTTGCTTTTTTCCTCTTTGATAACATGGTCCCCGGTTTTAGAGGTGTGCCACGATAAAATGGATGTGCCCTGTGCGGGAGATGCCGTGTCCACAGGTACTTTATTCGTCTTCTCTTGCATCCCGATGTCGAATGTGAGTCTTGACTCGACAGGTCCACTGCCTTTAAAAAATATATCTTCATCTTATGATATAATGGCATAATACAAATGACTAACGGTCTATGGCAAGAATTGCGTCCTTCTACCCAAAGAGGTATACGAGGGTCACTCAATAAGGTATCAACCTGAATAAGAAAGAAACATCTGAGGGGAAAAATAACACTTTCTTTTTCAATGTAGTCACCTTTTAACTCAACACACGTATTCCACTATGATTCGAAGGTTTTTATTCCCTGGGAATAGAAGTAAACTTCTTGTCCATCAAACCAATCAGAAACGTCAACAGAAAAGAGTCACTAGGAACCAGATATGGGCTGTAAGGAGGATGGTTGAGCTCCTGAAAGCCACACTCCCTCACTGCTGCCTGAACTTTCCATGATTTGTGGACGGGCGCGTCGTCATGGAGAAGAAGGACCCCTCTTGACAACTTTCCTCTGCGTTTTTCCTCGATGCCATCATGTAAATTTTTCATGGTGGTAGAATAGGAATCGCCAGTGATTGTACAATTGTCTGGAATAAACTCAAGCAGCAGTAGTCCCTCGCTGTCCCAAAACACAGTGGCCATAATCGTTCCTGCAGATTTCTGAACACGAAATTTGCAAGGCGTTGGCGATCCCTTGTGCTTCCACTGCATGGACTCCTGCTTGGTTTCGAGATCTCTGTGATGAACCCAAGTTTCCTCACCAGTTACTATTCTGGGAAAAAAAGTTTCCCCGATTTATTTAGAAAACATATAAAAATTCTTTAGAAAAATGATGTGAATCACTGTGCCCTCTGAAATCCCCAGTTCATGAGCTAAAGCAGTGACTTTGGTGCGACGATCCTCCAGTATCGCACTCTCCAATTTGTCACACATTTCCTGATCAGAAGCCTCCACAGGGCGCCCCCGACCTTGGGTCATCTTCGATTGACTCTCTTCCCCACTTAAACTGCTTGCTCCAAAACTTAACTTGGTAATAAGAAGGCGAAGACACGCCATAAACGTTAGACAAACGTTCATGAATATCCTTAGGTGCTTTCCCTTCTTTGGTGAGGAATTTGATCACTGAACGATGTTCGGCTTTCGTCAAATCCATGACACAGACTCAGGAAAAGAAATTTAATGCGCTACCACTTTAAACAGACTTGAGCAACCGAGCTAATATAGGGGTGGGGCAATCACGAGACCTGTGAGGACATGTCACAGCAGGCACAGGCCTGTTGCTCATCCATTTCATATTTAGGTAGATAACTTATTGAGTGGCCCTCGTACAACGGATTCTATAGAAGTTACATCATTGTGACTAATATATCGGCATCATTTGTCCAATTTTGATAATTTTCCTTAGTTGGCAATATAAAACGTTAAGGTTTTTGCCGATTCCGGCGTTTGCTTTTTTTAAATGGAACGAAGCATCGATTCGGAACGGAAACTTTCGCTTATTTTGGAACGGAGAAATCTACACCATCGTACCGGATTTTAACTGTTCACGATGTCAGATAATGTTTTAAAATCTTTTCCCACGCTGCTTGAAGCACTAGGGAATTTCCTTGTATGCCTCGCGCCTAGAATCCTCCAACAAAATTGCATCCAGCCGAACAGTTTTATTCCTGCAGCTCCATGCATTGCAGGTCTGCGACGGGGTTAAGAACTGCAAAGACAATTCGGACGAGACCCTCATCTGCGACCAATTCGACGATAGTGAGTCGCCCTCACGTTCTTCATTGTGCCTCGGCCTCAGAACGCTCGAATCGCATGGACATTCTGCAAAGGAATTCGCGTCCCCTAGCAGCGACGTGTATTTGTTGCATTCGCATAGGGCCGACTTGCGACTGAAGAGTCGCCCATGTCGTTCCAAGCGAACGACTCAAAGTAATTTTTTGAGAACGGAAAATGCGCGCAGTTTGCAGTATATGGACAATTAGACATGTACTTACACCATCCTTTCCAACGATGAGGAGCACATACATTAGATTTAATTCAGCCTGAGTTTCTGGTGCCTTACGAGATGCGAAATATCCCACACTCAGCGAACTATCCTAGTAAATTCTTATTACATAACAGTATGAAGTGATGTGAACTTTCTTTCATCGATGTCACACTCGTGTGCACAAATTAAGAATCGCACTTTCCACTTTGAGCCTAAANGAAAGACTCACTTCATTTTACAGGAGGTAAAAAACATACGGGAAAGCCTGGGAAAAGTCCTCGGAGCAAATCGATCGAACGGTGAGTTCAAGACTTCCCTCCTCTAGACGCGCTCACCCGCACTCTCACCACCACCCTCTTCTCGATGACTCTCCCAGCCTGGGAGAATCCTGACTCATTGGGCTGCAGCGACCGTGGAGCCAACTGCATCAACGGCCACGTCTGCACAGGGAATGGGACGGGCTTCTACGATCCTCAAGCCCTATGGGGTAGATTCTCCTTCCCCATTTCAATCTTGCTTTTTTCCTCTTTGATAACATGGTCCCCGGTTTTAGAGGTGTGCGACGATAAAATGGATGTGCCCTGTGCGGGAGATGCCGTGTCCACAAATACTATCTTCGTCTTCTCTTGCATCCCGATGTCGAATGTGAGTCTTGACCGGACAGGTCCACTACCTTTAAAAAGTATATCTTTATCTTATGATACAATGGCATAATACAAATGACTAACGGCCTATGGCAAGAATTGCGTCCTTCTACCCAAAGAGGTATACGAGGGTCAATAAGAGGTATCAACCTGAATAAGAAAGAAACATCCGAGGGGAAAAATAACACTTTATTTTTCAATATTTCCACTTTGATTCGAAGGTTTTTATTCCCTGGGAATAGAAGTAAACTTATTGTCCATCAAACCAATCAGAAACGTCAACAGAAAAGAGTCACTAGGAACCAGATACGGGCTGTAAGGAGGATGGTTGAGCTCCTGAAAGCCACACTCCCTCA